TCAAGAGTTTTGTTTCAAAATGCTTGCTTCGAGCGAAACTAGCCGTAAGGCTTTTTTCAAAATACTTTTAGCTCTAAAATTTCCTCGGGATGGTGAAAGTTAAATTTCTCCATCAAACTTCATTTGGGAACGATGTGAAGTTTTTCTCCTTATACAAATTAATGTTCTCTATCGAACTACGCTAGAATCAACTCTTCATATCAAAAAATGAAGTTTTTATTGAAATTTTAAAAATAGGGCAAAAAACTCGAAAAACACTTAAAAATTCTCTTTATCAAAAACTATAACTCCAGGAACTGAAAGCTTTGTTGAGATGTATACTTCGAAGTGTCCTCCATAAACTGCTGGAAAAAAACGGGTGGGGGAAGCCCCCCTTAAAGACATATTAATCTGCCTTGCTATCCGTTGGACCGTTTATGCGGTGGTTTACCGTTCTCAGCAAGTCGCCAACCATAAACAAAACATTCAGAAATTGACTTTTTTGGAATTGCTGGAGAATCGAAATACTGGAAGAAATAGGACGTGTAAGCTCTTTTTGATATAGAAAAAGGCTAATTATTTTATTTAAAAATAATGTAATCATCTACGCACTTTCGATTTTTTGTGCTAACGTAGAGGTTTTACATGGGAACAATCACCGTAATTTGGGATAAATTTTTGATTTGTTTCTGTGAACCAGTAACAAATGTGGTCGGACTCTAAGTGCATTGATGATTGTTCCTTAATTTCACTTCATAACTATACAGATTTGGAAGCTCATGAAAGATTTTTTCAGAAAAACAGTGATTTGGCAACCAGAAACGGTTTACACACCGTCTAATTCAATACATTTTGACAAACTAGCTCCACCAACACCCTTGTCGATCTGATAATTCGCAGCAACGAGTATTCCGTGGATGATTCAGGTATGGATTCTACAATCTTAACTTCGTTCGTATCACAGTTACTTTCGCTAAGGAGATTAAAGAGATTCGTCAAAAAAGCGTCGCTATTTTTTGTGTACAGGAGAAGATTTATGATTGTCTGGCTGTTATGTTATATTTTAACTTTTTCATCGCGATTTTTATCACTTTTCCAAAAATTTCTTTTAAGCCACTTATTCTGTTTGCCTTTTGTTTAGCAAGGTTTCTATTTAGGTAATTTGCTGCACAAACAGAGTTACACTTGGCGTTCGAACTGTTAATGTTATAAGTTAATTTTATAAAATACGATAGAGAAGAGAAAATCACTTATTCATAAGTTGTTTACTTTACTGTTGCTAGGTTTTTTCTATCTGTCCCTCCATCTCCCTCTTAATCTCGATTTGCAGATTTTATTCTGAGTGACACACAAAATCTGTTATAGGTTCAAAATTTGTATATTTTCTTTTTTCTTTCTACTTGAATAGACACGGTAGGCTAGAACTGCATATGGTTTTCCTTCTTTCCAGATATATCATGTCTATTTAAGAAAAAAAGTGAAAATGCACGAATTTTCTACCTATAATAAATCTTGTGTCACCCAGAATAAAATATACAAATAGAGATTAAGAGCGCAATGGAGAGACAGAGAAAAATTCTAATAACAAACTTTTATTTAAATAAATTTGAAAATAGCTTACATTTCCTCAACCTATCAATTTCAGATTTCTAAAATGTTTGAATCACTAATGCCTTTCAAATATCCTGAGTACGAAAATATAAATAGGAAAAATAATGGGATTGTAGCGAAATTAGAGAAGTACGTCGGCCTTGAAAACAATGTTTTATATTCAGCAAGTTACACTACCACATTATCATCTGATGGCACATATATTAATAAAATCAGTCAATATCTTTTGGAAAATCAAAAGTATTTAGAAAATAAACATATCATTAATTGGTGTTCAAAATGTGTACCGCTTTACTCAATTCAAACGAATGGTAACTTCCATCTGTTACACACAAAATCAGAGTTGTGTATGAGATACTTTACTTTGTGGTCACATCAAGGGGGAAAAGGCGGATCCGGGATCCATGCGAATACAATTTTATTGAACTGAACTGTCCCAGAAATTTCTGTTTCCACAAGCAAAACAAAAATGTTCTGTCTGTGGGAAAAGAATTCACAGAACAGAACACAATTGTTCCGTTATCTAGGAAATTCTCCCAATAAAACAATCTGACTGTTCTGTTTCGGGAAGACGTTTGTCCTGTTTCGCGACTTCGACTGTTCTGTTTGGGATCAGGATTGTGCTCTTTTAGCGGAAGAATATTGAGACGGATCTGTGGGGATCTTTGCGGATCCGTGGGGATCTTTCTGGATCCATGCGGAAACCCGGATCCGCGGATCCGCTTTTCCCCCCTTGGGTCACATGCAATGAAGAGCTGATACAGATACTGTTTGCGTCCGTACTAAGTTCTTTTCCTGCATGAAATTTTTTTTGGCGACAGACAATTTAAAGTAAGAGAGTAAGCCTTTGTGCCAAGCCTTTAGAAGAGACGTATACAGGTAGCTTTAGTGGATTAATTAGCCTTGTAGCAAATCAAAAATAAAAGCAACCTTCTGTAACTAGCTATAGCAACGAAAGTTATCTTTTTAAATCAGTATAGAGATTATCAACCATCTAATTTTAGTTTTGAATGATTTTTTTTGTTCTATAGGAAAAGAAAATTGTTTGGTTGATGCCTGCCTTCTCACAATGATTGGTATTCAAGATAGTTCATTAACTCTTCGTAAACATTTATCTGATTACATTAAATTAAATGAAATAGCATTACTTGATCGGTGGAGATATGCAAGAATATCGTCTGACCGAAAACTAGGATTGGGTATTGATTTAGATGATAATCTACTTGATCAAGTAAACTAGAAATAATTATCTGTATAAAAATCCGTCAAAATATTTTTTTCGCGAAGCAACCCTTAGATGTTTGTTGGTTTTATATCCTTATTAACTACTGAAAAAAGTGTGATGCAAAATCTGAGAATTCGTATTTCCTTAGCGTAAACTTGCATAACTAGCATACTGTTATACCGTTCAGTCGTACCGTAAACTTTGTGATTCAGCACAAACCTACTTGCTTTAAGATCGAACAATCTATCGCCAAGTGGTTTCAAAACAAAAGAATACAACGCCAGTTAAGGTTTAAGAAAACCGAGATTTTCAAAAATGTTAACTCTGAGACGCAGTGTGTGCACGCAATTCTTCTCGCCTTAGCTATATAGATTTTGATGCGCTCTTTCGACTGACACCAAACTCACCATACATCATCAAAAATTGTGGCTATCACATAGTTCTGAACTCGGTTAAATCAGCTACAGAAGATGAGAAATACACTCACTTCTCCGTTGCTGTTTGTAATCGGTATTTAATATTGTTGGTAGCGACCGTAAAGTTTTTGGTGACGTAACCGTACCTGAACTTAAAACTGAGCCGGAAATCGGATACGAACACAATGTATCGAAAATTGACGTTGTTGTTGCTACTTTTGAGAGTAAGGAAGTGGATAATGGCAGATTAATAATAGACGATTGTTGTCTAACACGAAATGTGTTGTTTTTCAGGTCATAAAATGGTAAAATATAATAAATAAACGATAATTGTGATATGGTTTGTAGCCGTTTATAATTATCGTTTGTAAGTTGAAGTTGAAATAACTGATTAAAAATTGTATGGCAATCGTCTTGTTTTAATTCAGTTTTTGATAATATTGTACAGAGATGTTGTAAAAAAACAGTGTTTTTTGATAATCGTGTTGTTAATTTATTGAATTTAAACTTTTGTTTATATAAGTTATCGTGTACGTTTATAATAAATGAACTAATACTACCGAAAGGAATTTAAGATAAATCACATTGTTTGTCTTGTTTACTCTTAAGAATAAACAAAGTCGCGATTATCACAAATAAGACAGTATGCATCAATTGATGAATGTATGCTATAGAGAGAGAATGTGTTCAATACGCACGAACGGAAATAAATGTTGAGTCGGATATTGGACGGAAATTTTGGCTGGTAAAATTCATACCTATACCCTAACTGGTATACAATATTCGACAACAGATCAGCAAAACGGTATTCCACGGTATTTCCCCCACTTGTTAGTACTAAATTCCTCGCACAGGAGATTAGAGCTGCCCCGAATTCGTTTCTCCTGAACTTACCACTGTATTCCTGTTTTGGAGCTGGAAAATGAGGATATTTAGAATAACTTGAATGACTTACACCTGATTTGTGCTGATTATGAAAGATTATATTTTAGTATTTTATTAAAATGGGGTGGAGAAGAGGATTACAAACACATACTAGCACAACGTAAATTGATGTTAACTATACGACACTTCTGTACCAACTGAGTAGAAAAAAGATATATATTCTTATATAGTTATCTGATCTCTTTATAATGTGTTTAGTATAAGCATATAGACAAAGAAAAGAGTAAACTGTACGTCTGTTCGGCTCATTGATGTACGATAACAAATAAATAAAAATGACTACATAGAAAAAGGAGACAATGTGTACATCAGAGCTCCTGCCGATCCGCCCGACTCGATGACCCGGCCTGGGACCGACCCGCCGCGGACCAGGCCGGGCCGAGCCATTCGCTTTTCGTTTTTTGCCCTATTTTTAAAATTTCAATAAAAACTTCATTTTTTGATATGAAGAGTTGATTCTAGCGTAGTTCGATAGAGAACATTAATTTGTATAAGGAGAAAAACTTTACATCGTTCCCAAATG